CTGTTGCTGCACTGTTGGGGTTTGCTGCTCTGGTTTATATTGTTGTTTTGTTCTAGTCTATTTTTCTATGTTCTGTTGCTCCTTCTGGTTTTTTTTTCTTTGTTGGTTTCTCACCAACTAGGAGGTTGGAGCTTTGTTTAGCTCCAAGATCCTCTTTATTGATGTATTTTTTCATACTTTGTATGGTTTTAACATCAATAAAGTCTTTCATTTTGCCGATCAAAAAAGATCATTCATATTCATATTTTCTAAGATCCTATTTATAGATCATTCATAAAACAAATCAAATTGATTACATAATTATTCTCATTTAATTTAATCACATTTATTTTGAAAAGAAAAAACAATAGTGTACTTTAATTAATTTTTTTTCCCTTCTCATAATGAATAACAATACAACATTATTAAACTTAAATATTCACAGTTCATTTAGATAAATGTAAATTTTAAATTAAGAGATTTTTTTATTTATTTTTTTTATGTTTTTTTATGACCGAAGATGTGGTGGTTGTTCATAATTTATAGTGGTCATCATTTTAGTTATGGTTGAAAATAATTTGATTATGACATTTTATAATATCAATATTACAATGTCATAATTTGTATATGGTACATCCTTTTGTAGTGTGTATAATAGAAGGATTTATTTTAGGAGGATCCTTATGATTAGAAGAAAATTCTTGAATGGGGACACTAATACAATTTTAAAAAGGGATGCTATTGTAATATTATAGTGCGCGCGCGCGCACACACACACACACACATATATATATATATATATATATAAAGGTATTAATATAATTATTAAAACTTTAAGGGGGCTCGTGACCCCGGTCACATGTTTATTCCGTCACTACTTGTCATCTAATTTTTTAAAACAAAAATGTAATAAAATTGTATAAATATAATTATTATATTAATATAATTTTTTTTTTTTTACAAATGATCTATATGCAAAGACCTAAAAATAAACTAACTGAATTATCAAAATAAATCTCATGGTGGACCCATAAAAGTCCATCAATTCGGTCCACTCTTGTGAACACTTTAAAAATTTTAAAAACAAAACCAAGACAACCTAGCAATAAAACCACCTAACTCAAAACCACCAACAAATATAGATAGCTGCAGAAAAAAACAAAATAAGCCAATAACCTTTCTCAGAACCACCATTATTTTACTCTACACACCATTATTAAACAATGTACTTGGGGACTATATTTGCTTCTGGAGCTTTGTATCGTTTTTTTAGTGAACCAAATATAAGAATACACATCATTTGTGTCAAGAATACATTCGACTTCACCATCCTTTGAAATAGGTAAGTTTCGTTTTTGTATCTTTAATTTACTGAATTCTATTTATAATGCTTCACTACCTTTGTCAAAACTTGTACATTTCCTCATACTTTATCTATTGATTAATGATTCATAGGTTCCACATCTGACTCAATCAATGTTTCCACGACACCTCAAAGTATCGACAAAATGATTGCAACTGAGCCTTTCATTTTACCAGGTAAACCATGTTGTAGTTTTCGTGGAGCCAAAAAATATTCTCTTGAACCTGATGCTTTTTGCTGTTGTAGTGGGAAAATTGTATTGTACAACAATAGAATTCCAAAAGACCTATATGATCCAACCATTGTTGCTCTTCTAATACACATTATGAACTTGAATCCATATTCTGTTTTCTTCCGAAATTTGTGAGAAGTTCCAGACTTGCATGTTCATTGTATTGTTATCCAAGCCGATCCAACTTTAGATCTTCGAACTCATAATGCTCCTACAGCTTCTCAAGTTGGTTCGATATGGAAAGAAAATGACTAGGCTATAGAATGTAGAGAACGTGACATAATTGTGCAGAAACATAAAGGCCGATTTGAGAGGATTAGGTACTATTACGGCTGCCACGATCCTCTTCAATATCCAATTTGTTATTCAGTTAATGCATCAAGGAATTACCCAAATGCCCCAAAAAAATCTAGAGGCCAATCCTTAGTTTCGCCACGACAAGTTTCCAAAGCTGCTGACCTACTAGTGACAGAAGCTTCAGGTGCGCAATACAAATAGATTTTACTAATACACCTATGGTTCGTTAACTATTTCATCCTACGATCAGGCCGCCTCCTGCAACAATTTGCACTTGGAGAATCAAAGGGCGCTAATATTGGTCGAAGAGTTATTTTGCCAAGATCATTCATAGGTGGTCCTAGAGATCTTCGCAAGCGGTGCATTGATGCTATGACATTAGTGCAGTGGTTTGGAAAGCCAGATATATTCTTAACCATGACTTGTAATCTAAATTGGTCTGAAATAAAAAAAGAATTGCAACCAAATGAAAAGGCTCAAAATAGACTAGATCTTTTGACTCTTATCTTTATGAGCAAATTTGAACATTTGAAAAAGGAAGTGATTCAAAAAAAACTCTTTGGTCCTGTTGCAGCATTTACATATGTTGTTGAATTCCAAAAAAAGAGATTTACCTCATATTCACTTGCTTCTAATTTTGCAAAATAGACAAACTAAAGTCCCTTGAAAGTTTTGATTCATTTATATCTGCGAAGTTGCCAGACCCTATCAAATATCCCCATTTGCATTCAATGGTAGTGAAACACATAATGCACGGACATTGTGGTTTTTTAAATAAAACTAACGTTTGTATGAAAAATGGGTCCTGCAAAAATCACTATCCAAAGGGCTTCACTCCTACAACAACCATAGTAACAGACAAATATCTGATCTATAGGCGTCGCAACAATGGCGAAGAGATAAAAGTTCGAGGTCATTTGTTAGATAATGCATGGGTTGTGCCTTATAACCCACATCTTCTTGCCAAGTTTGATTGTCACATTAATGTTGAGATTTGCTCTACTATTAAGGCCATTAAGTACTTATACGCATATATTTACAAAGGCCATGACAAATTAGCATTCAATGTACCTGAAGAACATGCTAATGAAGAAATTGATGAAACAGCTCAATACCAATTGGCAAGATGGATATCACCTCCTGAAGCAATGTGGCAAATATATAGATTTTTTTTTAATGAAACTCACCCCACTGTGATAAACTTGCAATTGCACCTAGATGATTGTCAAATGGTTAGCTTCACAAACACTTCAAGTTTGAAATCCTTAGTAAACTCTGACAGAGTTCTTTGTAGTGAATAGAACAAACAACAAAGCCAAAGATGGGCAGTTTTTTTATAGGGAATTTCCTGAAACATTTGTGTGGGTTCCAACCGATAGATTCTGGTATGAAAGAAAACAACAAACCATTATAGGAAGAACTGTGATCACAAATCCAACTAAAGGAGAACGCTATTATTTACGGTTGTTGTTAAACCCCGTAAGAGGTCCAACATCATTTCAAAACTTGAAAACAGTCAACAAAATAGTATGTGAATCATTTAGATAGGTTGCTCTTGAACGTGGCTTACTCGAAGATGATGACAATCAACAAAAATGCCTAGATGAAGCTACAAACTTCCAGATGCCTTCTTCACTAAGACAACTTTTTGCTACTATTCTTGCCTATTGCAATCCCAGTGATCCAAAAGCACTATTCTCAAAATTTGCAAAAGCTATGGCAGAACAAGCGATGTCACTTTCAAAGAACAAGCGCTGTACCAAGTGCTACAACATATCAATTCCACTCTTGAATCTATGGTGAGAAACATCCAACAATTTCATTTGTCTGATTTAGTTCTTCTAATAAATGAAAGAGATGTTACTTGCAAAGAAATTGAGGATGAGAAAAATAGTGGTATCTAAAGAAGATCCATCATGTGTATGGATGTTGAATGCAGAACAGCAGCATGCATATTGTAGAATTATACAAGCTGTGCAATTAGACAAACCAGCATATTTTTTTATAGATGGACCCGGTGGCTGTGGGGAAACATTTCTTTACCGTGCACTATTAGCTACGGTCAGAACACAACAAAAAATTGCTCTCGCCACTACAAGAAAAATTCATTGTCGCGGCGCTTAGAAAAAGGCGTTTTTTGAAAACGTCTTTATTTCCCGTTTTCCAAGACGCGTGCCTTCGCTGATGCTTAACCTTACCAATTAATTAATGAGTTAAAAAAAAAAGAAGAAACAAACCTCTACCACTCAAACCTAATAGAATATCACTTTTTTTTCCAAACATCACAGTCACAGATTCATTACCCTCTCCCCTCTCTTTCTCCTTCTCCAACATTATTCTCTCTCTAAAATGGCACGAATGAAGCCCTCTTTGTAGATATTGACGAAGCAACTGATGAAGATTTCAAGTAAGTCTATCGTAGATCAAAACCTTAGATCTTTTATCTCAATCGTTTTTCATTATTTTTTTATTTTGAAATCTTGTTTTGTGCACTCGATTTGACTCATTTTTTTCGAGATTATTCGATCTCTCTTCCATATTGCTCGATCTCCCTTGATTTGACCAATTTTCTTCAAGATTGTTCGATCTCCCTTGATTTTCATTTATCTAGGGTTTCGTTCTACACGGCACTTAAAAAATGCAGTGGATCTTTTTGAAAGGGCTTTTCAATCTGTACTCGCTGTGTTCACTCGAGATTCAGAGATTTTTATGACTGCATAGGAGCAATCTAGATCTATTTTGATTTACATTCTATTAGTTTGATTTCATTCGATTGACTGAAACGGTTGCTTAGGATTTCGATTTCCATTGTTGATCTAGGTGCTCTTCTCTTTTATTGGTCTGACTCAAGCTTGTTTTGGATGATTTTGATTTCGATCTATGTTTTGTTTTTCTTAGGTATCGGATCTATAGCTCTTTTATTTGTTTTAGTTCTCTCAGGTTGTCAGCTTCAATGGTTTTGATCTGTAACTGTATTTTATTTAAATAGTTTTATTGTTTGTTCTACAAATAGGTAGCTAAGAAGATTTTTGTATTTTCTCTCACTCTTTGTGTTTCCTCTTTAAATAGGTAGCTAAGAAGATTTATTTAAATATTTTTATTGTTTGTTCTTCAATGACGATCATTGTCATATGTATATGATCCAGATTTTCTTGTAAAAAAATAAATTTAAGTAAACAAGAACAATAATATCAAGGTCATTAGATATTTGGGTTGCACTCTAACAGTGCTTTGAGGTGTGGTTCCCTTATTTTTCTTGTTCTGAAATCCTTTCAGCTTTCTAATTATTATTTTTCTTTATAAAAAAAGGATCTATTTGTGAGTTTGTTTGCTGAAGGAAATTTTTGGCACATCCAGCTTGTTCATTAAAGAAAACAATCATGAGCTGCTTCAGCTGTTGCATAGAAGATGATACGCACAAGGCTGCTGATAATGGACCATTCATGACAAATACAGCAGGTAAATTGTCTGTGCTCAGGTTGTAGTATTTAGAAAACTTGCAATTTTTTCTCTTTCATTATTTGAAATGGTAATGAAGGCTTTTCATCTTTGTTGGATTAATGTGGTGAAGGGCATATAAATTTATTTGTTCGCGCTGAATTTCAAAGTTTGTATTCCATGCTTCAATCATGAAATCAGACAGATTAACACATCTTCCATTTCATTTGTGTTTCCCGGCCTTGGCATAGACCCTAACATTTTCAGGGTGATATCTCATGTTGGCCAGTTTGTACATTTATCTTTGCTTGGTTTACTTGTGTGCTTAGTTTCCTTGCTCACTTTTTATTCAGTTGCTTGGATCTATCTTGTGCGATTGTAAGTCTTACATGTTAGCATCATGCGCTTTCGTTTTATACTTTCTAAGGCTTCTGATTTCTTCCAAACTGACACGACGAAAATTTATCATTAGGCAACAATGGAGGTTATCATGCTGCTGAAGCTGCACCGAAGGACACAAAAACTGTAGATGTTCAGCCTATTGCTGTCCCCTCCATCCCAGTGGATGAATTGAAGGAAATAACAGACAACTTTGGTACAAAATTTTTATCAGTTTCTTTATGACTTAACAGGTTTCAATGGTATCAAGACTGAAACATGAAAATGTTGTTGAGCTTCTTGGTTATTCTGTTGATGGCGGTCTCCGAGTCCTTGCATATGAGTATGCTTCGAATGGATCTCTTCATGATATTCTCCATGGTAAGTAATGTCAATTTTTTCCTTTTCTAAGTGGACTCTTATTCCTGGACAACACCACTACCGCATGGAGAAGGGTTAAATTATTTTTGAAGTGTCTACTCTCAAGTGACTGTTAAGTTAATTTTTGGTCTTTTTAAGTATGAAGGTTTGTTACTTTGCCAATCAGTATATTTGAGGCCTTTTTATGGTTAGTTCTTGCAAGCTTAAAGAATGGTTGACTGCAGCCTCTTGCTAGAAAATGAATTCGAGAAAGGATGTATTGCTCTGTTCTTACAAAGATACATGATGCTGTCATTTAGAACTGTTCAAGTATTGCCTCAGAGCAACTAAAATCTCCAGAGAGTAATACGTAGAAGTCACTTCCCTTTCATGGATCTAGCCCCCTTAAGCCAATAGTGCCCATGTATTTAAGTGTATTTCTATTTTAACTTGATAATTTTTTTAATCCTTTAGTGGCAATAGAACATGACTTCAGAACTAAAAAATGTGTCTTATAGGTTCAGCACCATCTAATAAGCTTTGTCACATAAAATACAAGCTCACAAAAGTATAATTGAAAAGCATTCATGTGTCCGACCTCATTTTATTGGGACACAAGACACAGTTTGGTTTGTTTTGGCTTTGAAATGTTGCTTGTTTACTGAATTGTCATAGTATCTGATAGGGAAGTATGTCATAGGCATCCTTTGATAGTTCAAACCCTGGAATCCCTCATTCAAAAATGTAGCAATCATTCAGTTATTGAACCTGGGGATGGGGCTGAAGGGTAAAAGAACCAAATAGTAGATGAATCCACTGATTGTCCCCTCCCCAAAACACCAATTACAGGTGTTTGACAATCTTTCTGGTCTGCCCTGTCTGTTAAGTTAATTTTTGTCAGTGTCATTCTTGCATGTTTTGTCTTTCCATATGCCTCCTAAGAGACTTTTCTACTTCAGCAGCGCTTTAGGTGAGTTGTCCTTATATGCAGAATTCAATGTGTCATCTTTTCTACTTCAGGACTTTGCAATTATTTACAATGGATTCTTATTTTAGGGAATTGACATTAAAGAAATGCTTGCTAGTGCATCATTGATGGATGAGGCAAATAGGACCACCGTGGTAAAGATTTATTATTCATTCTCTTATTATTATTACTATTATTTTTAATTCATTGTTGTCTTCTGATAGTAGTTTTGTTACTTGAGTAGCCAAACTATTCTTGTCTTCTCAAGCTACTGAATAATGGACTTTGTACAATTGTGAGAAATGCATTTTCATCTTCTTCACTTTCTTCATCTTCTCATTCTTCTCCTCCATGTTTCTTTTTTCTAGCCTTGCAAAGGATGGTCCATCTCTTTCTAGCTATACAAAGGTATTATTACATGTTGAGGTGTGTGTCTCCACAATAGTTGTGTACCTTTTGTGTGGTCTATTGAACTTAAATATTATATACAGAAAAATAGGCTAGGATTTGGTGTATTTGCAAAGGTTATTTTTCTTGCATAGTCAATGAAATGGGAGTAGGTGGAGATGTTCATTGGTATAAACTAATCATGAGGGCGAAATTAAAGTTAAAAATTGGTTGGTTCTATTTTAAAAAATGATTAATCAAATCAGTTTGGATTTACTTATTCATTATGAGAAAGCTATTCGATTAGACCATTATCAAAATTGCACAACCCACACAAATCTTTCACTAAACTGCGAGTTTTGTTTTTCTGTTTTATCAGTTTTCCTCCAGATGTCCTGAAATTCAGTTGTTTCCAAGCAGTACATCTTGGCAAGGCTCGGTTTTGGTTTAGCTTTGTGTAATACATGTCATCAATTGGAATGTTGGTTATTTTGCTTTAATTTCTAAGGAGTATCTCATCCTCCTTCTTGATGACTTATAAACCTGTAGCCACCAGCTATTATCTTGGTGTTATCTCCTGCCAATCCAGTGGGGGAGAAGTGGAAGGTTCAAATCCCAATTTTGGCTGAGGGGATACATTTTGAATTCTTACTTCTCAAGTGGACACACACACACACGCAATACACTTGATGTGAAATTACATAATTGAATGTGAAAGGATTACTTATTTCACTGCTCATGCTTGTAAGTAGGAAAAGAAGTTATGATAACAGAATATCAAACTTTCCTTTTTTATTTATATTTATTTATTTATTTTTAGGTGAGGGATAACCCAACAACATTGTTGGCTTTAAGCTAGTATTGGGCCTCTGGTGGAGTAGGATCCAAGGTTTTGCTTCACTCTGTCTTTCTCTCTGCCTCATTTCTACCTATGTTATGTTTCAGTTTCACTCATAAATATTTATGCTTTGGCTTCTTTGTTTTTCCACAGGATATGGTTGTTCTTCCTTACAAGGATAACCTATTATTATTTAGTAGGTATTTGCAACAGTTGGTCATGGAATCACTTGGGAAGGAGTTTGACCTAGATGGTAATCAGGTATGTCTAACCATCTCTGCCAACTCTTCTTGTTTGAACACGGAACAAATTTGATGTCCTAAAATATCATTATTTATTTAATTAGCATTAGTATTGTTTACCAATGAAGCATTTTGAATTTGTGACACCTCTGGCAACTACAAAAAAGGTGTGATGTGAGACTATGGCTATGTATTTCAGATGGCCATATATTTTTGTCACACTATAGAGTGTCAACTTGGAAGTGGTTCAAGAGGAAACAGCTGAATGGAGTAGGAATTTTCTGAGGAAATATTCCTTTTATCTTTCTTTGGAGGCAATTTTTAAATATTTTGGTTTTTAGGAAGGACTCTTATAACATGTTAGCATTGTTGCATCTAGTTAGGCAGATGGCATGTAAATTGTAATAACAAATTTTCTAGCAACTTTGTGCTTCATGTCTTTTTCATTTAAAAAGCGATTTTCTTCAATTTCACCCTCACTAGAAAGCAAAATTTGATGA